TCACAGCTATTTCGCATCACAGCACTGAAGTGGCTGCTGGAAAAGGAAATTCATCTTGGAATCAAAAGTCCCACCAGTCTAGAAATGAACCGGCCCACACATGGAAATACAAATGCAACAAACGTGAGCCATATTTCACAGGCTGTACAATAAAATAAGCCGTGGGGTTTTTTTTTAAGCAGATCTGCTAAATAGGTGAATTTCATATGTGTATGGTTTCGTATACAAAAGGTAGCACTAAAAGTCTAGTGATGATTCTTGCAAGAATAGAGATGTTTTTAAAACCTTGAGTCATAGCCAAATTCCATGATGGGTATTACACTCTGCCTATCTACCTTACTTTTTCATTGGATGTGGCACTTTTCATTTCCTGTCTTAAACTACTGAGTACTGTACGCTGTTAAACAGCTTCCTCGCCCCACCCCAGAAGTGGTTGCATTTCAGTGGTGTTTCAAGTGATTGCTAATAATTAGCAAAACAATTTGGGAGCATTCAGGATGAGACACATGATATAAATATACACTGATACTATTCAATATTATACCCTAAAAAGTAACATGCCACCTTAAAAATGAAAGATTTGAGATTTTTTTCAAAAGCATGATTATTTTAACTGGAATTCTGGAAATTCAAAAAGAAAGGCCCTGTTCCAAAATAATTCATTTACTTTTGCATTTTGTTCCTCTGGGCAATTTTTATAGCTAGCCTTTTCTACCAGCTAACTGCTAATCAAACCATTAAGCTTCTTTAACAGGCTTTGAGGTTTATCACAGAGGCCCTGAACTGCTCCAGCTCGAAACCTACAGTAGCAGGTAGAGTGCTATACATGTCCAAAGATCAGAGCAATTATTTAATGATTTTGGTAAATATTTACATTAGAAGGGGGTTAACATTACTTCAGATTTGCCCTACACGGCTGTGTTTAAATGAGAAGTGCAGGGACATATGGAAGTGATCTTAAAAGAAAAATTACAAGTACACAAAAGAATTAATTTCCCGTGCTGCTGCAGAAGCGATGGCCTTGTAAAAGTCATCGGTCTGAGGCGTGCATTTAAGTCCTAGGTGAGACATCATGATGGATGGCATGCGATTTGTGGTCTGCCGTTTCTGCTCCCTGGACCGTTTACTGAAAGTTCCACAACCCGACTCCGCCACTTTAATAGGACAGTTTGGCTTCTGTCTCCTGCTGGGATGTACGTTCCTGTTCTTTTTATGGTTACTTTAGTCATCTCACCCGCAAGCAGCATAAATCAACAAGAGGCTGTGCTTTCCCAGCTAGACGGCGCTTGCATTAAGGGATGGTTCGGGGATTTGCCATAAAACCGGGTATATATTGATCCCAGTGCACCTGCCTTTTACCTAGCAATGGCTACATGCGTTGCCCTTGTGCACTGGTAGATCTATTCTTGTTAGGAGCACTGCGGGCTGGGCCCGTACACAACTAACTATCCTACAGGAGTGGCACCAAAATACTAGGAGGTAGATTGTGATTATTCCTTATGCAGCCCTTTAGATTTAAGCGATAGTGAGACATCGAGATTCAAAGCTTCACGTATCCTAATTATCAATTCAACTTACACTAACATAGTGGCAACCACCCAGCAGCAGTAAATACTTATCTACAGGTAACATGTTTACTCAGCCAGCCACCAGCATTAACTAATCATATACAGATAAGTCAGCCAGCCAGGAAGTCTCCCCAGGAACACACCCTCGGCTTTCCCCCCAGCCCTAGCAGCTTTTGTGGCATGCCCCGAAGGTCACCAGTGATGGGTTATTTTAGACCAACGATGGAAGCAAGTTCCAAAGTCCTCACTGAGGGGAGGCTTCTCAGGCCAGACAAGTGAGGCGCAGCCTAACCAAGAATTCCCCAAAGCTACAAAAGTACATTTTGCATAGTCTTGTTCATGTCATTGATAAATATCTCCAGCTTGGCCAAAGGACAAACTGTGATTTGACGTAAATGTCCACTCCCTGCATCTGATGAAGTGGGTTTTAGCCCACGAAAGCTTAGGCCCAAATAAATTTGATAGTCTCTAAAGTGCCACAAGGACTCCTCGTTATATATCTATATATTTTAACGCCACAAAGTGAGACTCTAATCATGGAATAGGTAATGGTGCCTCCAGAAGCTGCCTTGTTACCACACCGATTTACCATACCCAGGAGTCACTTCATAAGGGCGTTGCTATGGTAACCATGGCTGGGTGAGGCCATGGCAGGATTGCAGCAGTTAAGCCTGCCAGGTATTTACAGGGGGTGGGGATGGGCCCGGCACCCTGTGCTCCCCCGAATCCCTCCCCCACAAGGCAGGCCCTGTGCGTTTGCATGAAGGGGCAACATCGAGGCATTCATGTGTGTATCCGCCTCGCACGCCCTCCCACCCCTTGCACCAGTGTGGGTAACGGTGGTAGCAGCTGCAGCTTCTTCACTATAAATAAGGGTACGTTTTAAAAGCAATTACATCATACATGGGCAGGGGTGGAAAGAACTATAGAAAAAGACTGGGGACTCCAGTTTAGAGCCTCTGGTGGGTGAAGCTGTGACAGCATGCACCAAGGAGAAATACCGTCATCTTACTGCACATGCGTAGAGTAGATACGCATGTTTACAATTCCAGCCCCGCACCTGCAAAGAGCTCTGCATGGGCAAACCCCTACAGCCACATAGAACGATCTGCAAGGTTTCCAGAGAGCTTGTAAACATGGTCCTGTACAGACTTACACGCGTAAGTAACTTTACACACATGGGTAGCCCCACTGAAGTCAATGTAATTCTTTCCCAGATCATGGCCTTAGTTGGAAAAAATCTCTCTCCTTTATGCGGTTCCTATCTCCAGGATCTGTCTGATAAATCCATGGGTCTAATTTTCCTCTATAAAAATGTGCCACTGATATCAAAGCTATTGTTAGGAGAACACACTGTTTTCATGTCTGGAGGCCAGAAACGGAATCCAAGCAAAACAAATTTGATTTGCTTTCAACGTCAAAGCCCCTTCAATCGTCTTGTGTAGTTACATTTGTTTAACAGTAACCACAGTGACTGATACATGTGACGTCATTTCAGGCTTTGCCCGGGTTTTAGAAGAATCTTATTTATAATTAGTCAGAGGGACCTGATCCTGCCAGCTTTACCCTGGCAAATGCCCATTACCAAATATGGGAGTTTTGAATTCGATTAAGGACTCAGTAAGTAGTGTGGGGTTTGCATATGAGTAAGGAACTAACTTTTTTTGTTGTTAAAAACCCAGTCACCTTCAACTCTTTACAGCACAGTGTGTATATAATGTACACACAGAGCACTCAATACCTACCCCAGGTCGATTTTATGATTTAATATGTTAAAAACTGACCTGAGTATCGACGCTCAGATATAAACTTCCCCAAAGTTTGGGGAGTGTTTGGATCCAGGATTTGGATTACTACAGATAGGGACTGGCTGTGCAGTTCTGACCCAGAACTCTTCTGTTCTGTTGTATGGATGTGGGTGGTTCCGAGCCACTGTATATACATTGTCCCCTCATTTTAGATATGGGGACACCCATGTGCAGAGGGGTTATGTTCTGTTTGCCCAAGCACATGCAGTAAGTAAATGGAAGAACTGGCCATAGAATCTAAGGGTGAAATCCTGGCCATGCTGAAGTCAATGGCAACACTTTCACGGACTTTAACTGGGCCGGGATTTTGCCTGAAGCCTTTAGCCAGCTACTGGCCAAAGCTGCCTCACATCGCCACTTCCAAGGGGTGACAAGCCACACATGTTTTGAGATTCTTGTGCAGTGTCTTATCTGACCCTCTGATGTTTGCAAAGTTGGACCAGAGCTCTCTTTAGAGGAACATACTTTCTCATGAGGCTCTACATCCTGATTTCAACCCAGGGGTGCAAAAGCAACTGCGAAGGGGGGTGGATGTGGGAAAATGCACATTCAACTGTTTCAAAAGCTTAAAAACAAAGTTGTGGTTTGACTCGATACTGAAGGAGGATGCAGGGGTGGGGAGGAGCGGTGTGTGGTCATTTTTTGCAGTTGTTTAGGGAGAAGGACTGAAGGCAAACGCACTGGGGGATAGTGAATTATACAAACACCTGCATGGGACCCTGCCCAGATTAAGAAATAAAACTGAAGGGGGGGGGGAGAACACATTTCTTCTTCTGTAGCAGTGAGGAGAGACAGGGGAAAGGTTGGAAGTTTGGCAATGATTTAAGAAGAAACTCACCTTTCAAAAGGAATCACTAATTGAGGGGGGGATCTTGGAGCTGCACGTTCAGAGGGTTTGATTCCCCCCTCCCTCTCCAGCTGCAGGGGAAAAATCAGGCTGCTGCAGGTGGCTCACATTGGGGGCAATTGATTGACGCACTGAACCTAGGGAAACCCGCTGACTGATCAAACTGGTCCCTTTGCAGCAGGGCAAAGATGCCTATTAACGGAGCCTTCAGCGCCAGCGGGTTAGATGATTGAGAAACAGGCGCCCTCTAGTGGCGGCAGCGCCTCCCTGCAGCGCGAAAAAAAAAAAAAAAAAGTTCAGGAGGATGGGAAGTTTGGGAAAGTTGGAAGTGGCTGTGAGTTTTTGCCTCCTCGCTGCGCGCGTGTGTGTGTGTGATATTGACATGCTGACATGCTGATCAGTACCCGCCTTCCTGTGCCTGTTCAAATAGCAATCACCAAATCCATCCTCACCAGCGAGGCTCCAACCCCCCCCGCCTGACAAGCTCCTTGGCTCTCCCACCTCCTTCCCAACGCCGAAAAACTGCTCCGGCCAGCTCAGAAGTGGCTCCTGCGATTTGCAAAAGGAGCATGGCGGAGGCTGGGGATCAGGCGCAAAGCCGGGCTCGTCCTCTGCGGAGCCTTTCGCCGTCTGACAAGCCCTGAGCAGAGAGTGGGGGGCTCCAGGCGCCGGCTCCTGCTTTGCACTTGTCACCTGCGGACGGGACGGGCAAAGTTTGTTTGAATAACAAGGGCAGGGGGAGGGGGGGGGGTTAAGATCCAGGAAAGCCACCGGGGAAGGCTCAGCTGGGACGAGGCAGGATGCGACCCAACCTGGCGCTGATCTACTTCATCTTCGGGGGGATCCTGCCCGGCGCCACATCTAGGAGGAAGCAGATGGAGCCCGGGCCATGTGAGCTGCCCCGATCGGTGAGCTGCGTTCCCCGGAGCGGCTTCCCCTTGCCCCCGCGCTCCGGCTTCACGCCCCAGCCCCAGGAAACCATCAGGCGATCCGCAGCGGGGACTGGCCCTCTGCCTGGCAGTCTCCTCCAGGGGCCGGGGGGGGGGGGGAATAATCGCTGTTTTTTATTCTCAGTGCCCCCTCCCAGGGCATGGAGACAGCCCCATCCCAGCTCTGCTTGCTTCGCTCTCTGATGGACCAGGGCTGGGCTGCGGGGGGACAGGATGGTTGCCCAGTTTGCTCAGGGCACGCCAGCTCCCAGGCACTTTCTGCTCAGGGGTGGGTCTGATCACTACAGCCCAAGGGGGTCACTGTCCCTCCGTCTGCCTGCCTGGATCCACACATCCAGGGCTCCAGCTGCATCGCTACACACACCGGGCAGTGCCTCTAGACAGGCACCACGTCCACACGGCTGGGCGTGTGGCGGAGTGCACACAGGTGTAAGCATGCAAGTTCCGTGTGTCGAGTTTATACATGGGTGTAGATAGGCGCAGATTAAATACAGTTGCTCTGTATGTCTTTCCATATCTACACACTGCCTCCCCTTAGCACTGTGTGTCTATAGGTGCACATATAGCTTCTGTATATATAGTTCATCTAGCTAGACATCTATGTGGATCTAGCCATCGCCACATTTATCTGTAGGGTTACATGCTAATTATGCAGAGACACGTGTGTATATATAGCTATAGAAATATAGATAAATACAGAGGGGTAGCCGTGCTTTTTATAGATAAATACAGTTACTGAAAAGGGATCCGTTTTTATGAATTTGCCAAGGTGCCAAGGTGCCAGTTAGATTTTAAAGCCGAAATCCAACAAGCTAGGTTTGCTAATTGGATAAGTGTTATAGCCAACATAGAATGGACTCTATTTTATTGAATGCAGGGAGCGTTCACTTACTAATTTTAAGGCTGGATTCCTTTCAGGGCCACTTTGAACTTGAACTGTAGTTCTCAAATCTACTTGCTTATTCATAACTAACCAACAATTGATTAATTCACCCAGAACCACATTAGTACACAATCAACAGCTCATCACTCAGGTGGAGATAGAACCAATGTTTTGGGTGCGCACTGCACACACAGGACCGTCTTGCAAGCAACTGTCGCAGTTATACCAAGGAACAATGCAGATGACGAGATTTCTTATTCAGATATCAGAGTAGCAGCCGTGTTAGTCTGTATCCGCAAAAAGAACAGGAGTACTTGTGGCACCTTAGAGACTAACAAATTTATTAGAGCATAAGCTTTCGTGGGCTACAACCCACTTCTTCGGATGCATACTTATTCAGATAGGTACTCGCACAGAAACTGTATTTGATCTGTCCCAGTATATTATAGCAGTTCAGTGTGTATATGCCTGGCGTGTGTGTTCGTGTGCACATACAGACGGAGACAGTTTATGTATGGTTTATCTGTGTTGCGTATGGATCTATGCAGCTAGACCGTTTTGGTGTATATCGCATAGACCTCTCTACTGAGGCTGTGTGTTGTTGTAGTATAGTGTGTGCAGCAGAGTTGCTGTGTATAAAATTCTCTCTCTCTCTCTCACATGCTGTCCTGTGGTTTTGCTGGCCCTGAGCCTCGTCCCCCAAGCGGACTGGCTCTGACTCTGTCTCTCCCCCATCCCCAGCAGGGAGAGCTAAACTCCTTCTTGTGGACCATTCGACGGGACCCCCCGGCCTACCTGTTTGGCACCATCCACGTGCCCTACACGCGGGTGTGGGACTTCATCCCTGAGAACTCCAAGGCAGCGTTCCAGGCCAGCTCCAGCGTGTACTTCGAACTGGACCTCACTGATCCCTACACCATCTCAGGCCTGGCCAGCTGCCAGATGCTGCCCCACGGCGAGAACCTGCAGGACGTGCTGCCCCGGGAGCTCTACCGCCGCCTCAAGCGGCACTTGGAGTACGTCAAGCTGATGCTGCCACACTGGGTGACCCCAGACCAGCGGGGCAAGGGGCTGTACGCTGACTACCTCTTCAATGCCATCGCCGGCAACTGGGAGCGCAAGAGGCCCGTCTGGGTGATGCTGATGGTCAACTCCCTGACTGAGACGGACATCCGCTCCCGAGGGGTGCCTGTGCTAGACCTCTACCTGGCCCAGGAGGCCGAGCGGATGAAGAAGAGGACAGGGGCTGTGGAGAGGGTGGAAGAGCAGTGCCACCCACTGAATGGGCTCAACTTCTCCCAGGTAAGGGGGGCTTGGGCCCCTGGGCTTCTCTGTCCATCCCAGCAGGGGGGAAGGGAAACTGACCAGCACCAGGGTAAGAGAGCTCAGGAAGACAGGGCATGACCCAAAGCCCACTGAAGCTGCAATGGCCTTTAGAGCGGGCCCTCAGCAACCCAACGCAGCGATCAAGTGACGTAACACTGATGGTGCTGTGTATCTGCAGAGGTGACTCTGTGTGTGCATGGGATAGCCACCACGACACAATTGTGTACCCCCCCACACACACACACGCTCTCTCTCTCTTTCTCTCTTCTGCAGGTGATATTAGGGAGCCAGAGGCACCAAGATGCGGTGTCCCCAAGTTTGTAATATGCAAGGGAAGGTGTCAAACCTAGTATCTAATTTCTGCAGCAACTTGGTAAAAAGTTTTTAACGCCATCCTCTCATTCCCCGCAACTCAGAAGTAAAAATGTGAACTGAATGGATGAGGGGGGGGTAGTGGGCGGAGGGAGTTTTAATGTCGTTTTCAGTGTGTTTAATGTTATGCAAACTGCTTGGGTGTTCTTACTTTATTATTCCACGTCTAAAGAAATGGACTTTCATATAAGCTGTTGTGTACTGAGATAAGTTGAATTTTCATTTCTTGAATCTGCAAGGGGGGGTTGTGAAGAGGAGGTGAAGCTTGGAAAGTGAAGGACAGATTAAGGAGCAAGTGTTGGTGTAGTTTGAATCCAAAATGTCTCTTTCTGTTGGTAATTCAGCTTTCTAAACCACATTTCAAGCCAGGATCGATTTCATTTGAGTGGACTAGCAGAAATACGTTCACAGCTCTTGACGCTGCTTTGTGAAACTGTCAAATTAGAAATACTGGAAATTCTGAAATTGAGCAAAAAGAGTGGGAGGGGGAAATGGTCCAGAGAAAACCATGACTTATAATTACAATGTATTTTTTTTTTAAACCGGCTTTTGTCATTACTGTTAGTGCAACTATTTCCTGTCCTACCGTGCTGTCCTTATTTAAACAAAAAATCCACAGTGACTCTTTAAGTGGAGAGATTGTCACCAAGTGATGCATTTTTCAAAGATCTAACGGGGGGGTTTGATTTACAGCGAAAAATCACATTTTTTTTTCTTTTAGCAAAAATAAATTCCTTTAATGTTCCCAGTTGTAAGAGTGTACACAGAGTATATAGAGTTCCCACAGCAAATCAGTGAGAGCCTAGGCTCTGCGAGCATGGAAAGTATAGTTTGAGTTGTTAAAAAATTCTTATTTCTAAACCAAAAACTACAGACATCTGTGTTTTTTGACAAGGAATTTGCTTCTCCCTTTCCTTCAAAGAGTTAACCGCCTTTTCTTTTTGTTGACCACATACTCCTTTAAAACCGAAGTCTAAATAATTAACCACGGTACCCTCCCAATATTGATCCAATCCTAGTTGGCTGTAGTAGGTCAAATAGTACTTAAAATAAAACACATGAAAGACCTTAGTTAAAAATCTACACTTGGAAGCCTTTTAAATGTGAATCATATTACACATTTTTGTGTGTGTGAGGGAAAGAGAATTGCAAAGAAATGTTCTTACCATAGTACTCAGGGGATGATAATTCAACTTAATTTCCTTTTAGTCCCTAATTTTTAACATGTACATAGAATCCCCCTTCCTTTAAAAAGAATTAGGACTATTACCTATTTAGTAAAGGAGTTGTTTTATAGACGGTAACGGGGAGTTTTGTGGAAAATTCTGATTTTTATCAACAAAATGTTAGGTTTTGATTATTATGGATTGTTGATGTTACTACGAAAACAGGTCACCGTTCAAGAGTTGCTTTAAAAATATTATTTTGCTTAGCTTGACGCCACTTCTGGAAAGGTGGCCATCAAAACAACATGAGACAAAATTGAGTAAAACAAACCAGATAGCTCTTTACTTGCTTCCTTTAAGGTGAATACATTCTGGCACCTGGCAAATTGTTTGGCGGTAGTAATTTGTAATGTTATCACTCTGTCTAGCAGTCCCACTGCTGTGCTAATTGAGAGGAGTGGGTTCCTATAACTAGATTTCTCCTCTTAATTCTAAATCTTGGAGTCTTCCGTAAGACACACATAATTAAACATACTAAAAATGGAAATCAGAAATTGACCAGTTCTTGTATTCCACTCTGTGTGTGTGGTTTGAGAACATCTGCCCTAAATTACACTCCCAAATCTGCTAAGGGCATCAGCACTTCTTACCTGCTTTCAGCATTACTGCAATATTGCATATAATATATAAGAAAAATTGGAAACCAAGTCTTGTAATTGTGCCTCGTTTAAACATCTCTGTGCTTTTGCTTTCCAGGGAAAAATCCAGCATGTTTCCCTTAGTAAGTTTAAAAAAATAGTCATTGGCTTCCTCCCTGTCCCCCTGGCCCCGCCCAATCTGAAAGGCAGCTTTGTGTTACTGAAAGTTTTGAATAGGACTTTGTACACCAAATCTGTTAATCTGATATCATGAGGAGGGGGAAATCAAGAAGTGATCACCCCGTTGTACTTGGTTTCGATTGTTTCTGAAAGAAATGGGAGGTTTTTGCATTTTTAACCAGGAATGTTCTATGGCTAGAGTTCCTTCGATTTGTGAATCATTTTATCCACATGAGAAAATTAAGATGTACAGTGTAATTGATTGCTTCTTTGAGAACATAGGTGGTATATCGTTTTCCCATTGTGCACCTTGGCAATATAACATTCGTAGTCTGACCCTCCATTCCGCCTGGGACTTCTGCATAGTATTCCCTGCTGATATATGGAGACCATGTGGCTAATATACTGCAGCTTTACCATTGATTTAATTGCCTTCTAAATGTCCTTGAGATTGAGAGGGGCCCAATCCAGTATTTACAAGCACCCACAACTCCTAGTGACTTCAGTGAGAGTTTTGGTTACCCACGAAATGCAGGATTGGGCACCAGCACTAGCAAACAACACACCTGGTGGTGAAGGTTTCTAAATCCAAGTGTGATAAGTAAAGGTGGGTCAGAACCTCAGAATCCAAACTTTCCCAATGCTGGAATATGATTCAGAACAGATCAGAACTATATGGATCCATCTTAGTAGCTTTGATTAGGAGTGAAGTTTTGGGGCAATAGCTCAAAGGTTTGGTGCCTAAATCCCTTTGAGGATCTGGGCCTGAGTTATTAACAGACACTGCCCTGAATCTCCAAGCTCAGGTCCTGCTTCACGTCCATATTTTGAACTCACCCATGTCTTGTGGAGGTGTATGGAATCTGCATTTCCAGTTCAGGCCCATCTCTAGTTTTTAGGCTCCTAGCCCCAGATTAGGGCATTATATGGCAAGGGGTGAGGAAAGGCAGCCACATGAATGCCAATGGGAGCAGAAGTGATTTGCCCACAAATGTTCCATGGGGTTAGAGAGAGAAAATGCTTCCTGGAGTTCTAGAAGGAGCAATATCTCCTGGTGCTCTTGGGACCCCACTGTCTAAAAGCTCCAATATAGTTATAACAAAGGCTTTCCAGGAAGCTAAAGTACCTGTTTGATTTTGGGTAGAGGTGGGCCCGACCCCACACCTGATCATGCTGAAATTTGGGGAAGTTCACATCCAGATTTGGATCTGAACTTTGCAGCCAGCTCCTAACTCTGTAATGGGACCTGGGTGAAATCAGGTGTTCATTAAAACCAATGGGGCTGTTGCCATTGACTTCAACAGAGCCAGGATTTCACCCCTGTATCTGAGCCCCCCGATTCCCGGGGAAGATTTGCAACTTCGCTGCTCAGTTCTGTCTCTAGACATGGAACCCAGCATGATTGCCAAGAAGGTATTTACTCCCCGCCCTCTAATTCATTCCTATATATTATCCACTTCACTCTTTTTCATCTCCCATCACTAGTTCTTTGTCCACACAGTTAATCCACATTCAGCTGGTGGCAAAGCCTTTCCTTACTATGCTTCCTGTTTGCAAAGTAGCCTTGCTAAAGACCCAGTGTTGTCCTGATGATTTTAAACCTATCCATACATGGGAAATCACACTGATTGAACGAAGGCTGTGTTCATTATCCTCAAGATGTCTAGGTTTTCCTTCTTAGTCACAATCTAGATAATAATCAGATTCAGATCACTGCAAGATGTGGTGGGATAAATTAAATGAGAGACGTAATATCACACTGTAATTGATTGGATCAGAGACAGCCTGGAAGAAAGGAGCTCTAGATAGTGCCAGATCAAACTTCACACTTAGCTAGTCTCTTCCTTTCATTTCTCTTCCCCCTCACTCGCTGCACAAATAAACATTGTTTTCCTACTTCCCACCAAGGAGAGTCCGAATTAAGTGGGAGAAATGGCTTTGTTAACAAAGTCAGTCTTCATTTCCCAGGTCCTGCTGTTCCATCAAACTCTGGGACATGGAAGCTCTGATTACGCTATTGATAGGATTACAGAGAGTACAAGTGCTGTTTAATAAAAGGACTATGGGTGGTCCATCATGTTTGGCCAGTGACATCTATCTACACTCTTTACGTTGGGCCCTGAATAGCAGAAATAGGAATATACAGACATGAAATATTACTATACAGACAGGGCAATATTTTGGTATGCCCTCCCCCGCCTTTTTAAAAAAGATTAAATATTTTTGCATCTGCAAGGGCCATAATCTTCAGATGGTACAAATTGCTATAGTTCTGATTTCAGTGGCGCGATGCCAGTTTACACCAACTGAGGACCTGGCCCAGTTTAAAAAAAAACCAAAAACAGATGAAAAAGTTAAAATGTTTAGAACGGGACAAAATGTTATTGATGAAAAAGCTTTTTCCTTTGGGGGGAGGGTTGGGTTGGTGGGAAAGTGGGATTTTGACAATTTTTCTCTCTCAGTTTTTTCCCCCAACAACAATAAAGCCAAAAGCCCTAAATATTTCAGATATTGGCGGTGGAATACCAGAAGATTTTTGGTCTACCTTTGCCCAAAGCGCCTCCCTCCAAAATAAATAAGTTTGAGTCTGTTTTATTTTTTGAAGAAAATCGGAATTTCT